CTAACCTTACTTCAAAACACTTAATGTAGTCACGAATACTCATAAACCCCGACCTACCTCCCCACATGCCTAAATCAGTGTTCAATCTGCGTTTTATCAATAAGTGTAATAACTTACTGTACCGTCGATGTAATTCAACATAATATAACCTATGAGGTATTATCGGATTAAATACCGATTTCGATGCGGTTCGATATATCGCTTATTAAATCCTGATTTCTAACATTGGCTGTTTCTAATCAGCTGGCAACACAAATAGGTTCCCAAGAAAGTAGTCACCGGTCCGTATCCCTCCGCTCCTTGTTTATGCTCCGCGCATTGAGAAAGTAGTTCCGTATATTTTCTAGATTTTCAGTGAATTCCGTGCCTTAAAAAAAATGTTTTAACGGCGTTTTCTTGTTTATTAAAATCATAGGAATGGTTTAAAATCGTTTAAAAGAAAAGTATAGAAAGTTCAGAAATACCTTATGATTCTCTTGTTTACATTTTTCTTGTAAACAAAAAAACTGTCATAGCTACTTTAGTCCCATAAGCCTAATGTTAAAAATTTTAAATTTTAAGTTCGTTTTAAATTGCATTAGCATTATCTAATTGAAATTTATTTGTTTGCAAACCATCTCATTATTAGTCTAAGTAGTCTTGTTAAGTTTGGCTGAAATGTGTTCAGCCGTTATTGAGTGATGGTGTTATATTGTTTGCATTGAAGTTGATCCCAAAGAGCTTCGCTCGCTTCGCTCGCTCCGCTCAACAAAAGTGTTTCAATGTTATAATCTCTTCTTTTAATTAACTTATTTTGTGTTAGTATCCTACTAATATTATAAATGAGAAAGTTTGGATGTATGGATGTATGGATGTATGTTTGTGACAAGTGAACGCGAAAAATACTGGTCGGATTGGGCTGAAATTTGGCATGATGATAGCTCACATTCCCGATTAACATATAGGCATATTCTTATTTCAAAAATCCTTTCGGGCTCCGCCCCAGTGGCTCTGGAGTTTCCCATGTTAACCTTATGAGAAATGAAATTATTGAATCTTAACAGCTGTTTCAATTAAACAAGTTGGTTCTGTTCTGTGATGTTCAAAAGCATTAAAGTTACAAAAATTACCAACAGGGTGCAGCACTATTATTTCTTTTACATTTATGACAACAGCTAATTTGCAACTAAAAGGTGAGTGAGCGTAGCGAACGAACTTCAACCTGGAGGCGAGTTAGCGTAGAGAACGAGCTAACCTGAAGGCAAGTGAGCGCAGCGAACGAGCTCCAACCTAAAGGTGAGTGAGCGTAGCGAACGAGCTCCAACCTAAAGGTGAGTGAGCGTAGCGAACAAACTTCAACCAGGACGTGATTGAGCCATGCGAACGAGATAATCTTGAAAATTAAGAAGTTAAACGGGGCAAAGCCCGCGGGTTACAGCTAGTATTTATATAAGGCACAAGCCTTAGGGGGAAAGCTTAATTTTTGCCATAGAATTAAACTATCCATATTGAACTTTTGGACAAAGATTACTAAGAAAGAAGATTACTCGACATTGGGGGAAATAATTCTGTTTGAATACTGAATGTTTTACTTAATCCCCAAAACAAAACAAAAATGTTTACCACATTTTAGTTCAACAGTGAAATAAATTATATTAATTAGAATTTAAGCAAACATCAAGTCCTTGGAGACTAGCGGCCATCTTGGATAATTTCAAACAGCCACTGAAGGGTTTATTTATTGTCCAAAAATATTTTGTCTAACACCAAATTGATCATAATTTAAATTTCTAGTATACTGTGGGATTATAAATGTTCTACAAAGGAGTCCATGGAAGCTAGCAGCCATCTTGGATTTGTCCGCCATAAGAGCAATGTTAATTTCATTAATTTCAAACCGCCGCTGAAGAGTTATTTACCATCTAAAAATACATTGTCAAACACCGGAGTGATGGTAGTTTAAATATCTAGTATACCATTTGTTTAGCGAGTTAAAAGGTCTAGTCTCCAGGGACTTTCTGGAGCCTCTTTTAGATGCGCGTTTCGTTTTAGTGACGTTTGAGTGCACTGGCGTCATCATAATGTTCCTCTCTTATAAGGGTGGATTTTACAATTATTCATTATGCATACTTTTTGTAATACCAAGGAAAATTAATATTTGGCTTACTGTATAGTCGGCTATATTTATTTGAATTATTATTAAAGTTGTAAAAGTAACAAGAATATAATAGTAAAATAAAATCCGCTTCTTACTTAAACCGGACAGAGCTAAGCTCCAATTGATCCATTGATTTTTTACTTCTTGAACAAGCTGCACTTAGGAGTGACCTTGCCTGCTTGAAATTTTAATGTTTATGTTGTGGTTGACTGTTTCTCAAATGTTTAAGTGTTACTTAATATTAAATTCATCTTCCTGTAGAGTAACCGCAGTTTACACACAGGAGATTCGTCTGTCGCGTGAACAAAGTAAAAGTTAATGGCAGGGCGACTACACTCACGGAAATACAAGCATTAAAATCTCATCAAATATCGAAAGTTTCGTCGTTGCAAAACCTCCATATTACAGTATGTTAATCCTGCAATGGGCTGTCCACTGTCTTGTTCTTGACCAATATTTATCTCCATTGTAATATCAAAGAGATCCAAAAATGTTTAACTTCTTTAATGTAGGCTAGGCTACAGAGGGTTTAGGGTGTTTAAAATACTTTCTACAGTTTTGAAAGATGTAAAAGTGGAAAAGTGTAATACTGTAGTAACGAACGAGATATTGTCCATCTATATTTACCAAAATACATATGTCTTTTTAATTTGGACTCCAGAACGGTGCTTAATTATTCTAAGTAAACATCTTCTTTTAGCGAATTTCCCACGTTGGGAATGATGAAGTTGGCGGTATGGTAGTAAAAGACCCAGGTCCGTTTTACTTGGTTATTATTTTTTTCCCCCAGAGGTTAAAAACACTACATGTCTCTCTCTCTCTCTCTCTTTCTCTGTGTGTGTCTCCGTGAACACAATAACTCCATAACTCGAGCAATATTGGTCCAATTTTGATTAAATTTCGTATGAATGTGTAGGGCTGGAAAAACTTTTAATAATTTCGCGAACAAGCAAGATTGGATAATGGGAACGAGGTGTTATAAGGTTTTGGATTTTTCAAAAATAGGCTCTTTTTGATGTTTACCCTGAAAACGCTCAAACGTCCAATTTTGGTTACAGCCATAGTGTAGAGCAAAAAAAAAAAATTATTCCGTATATTAAAGCGTTATTGAACAATAAAAGTTTACGGATAAAATTCCCCAAAAAACTGTATATAAAATTGTCCATGTTATTCTTAAGGATAAAAAGTTAACTGTTGTAATTTACTTGTTTATGGGATGGCTAAAGTTTCATCACATTTTTCAAATTAATTTGTTTGATCCAATACTATTAAAATTTGACAAAGAAACACATTTTCTACTTATATTTTACTAAAAACATTCATAAGTACATTTCCTGTAGCTACAAACCGGAGAAAAAGTAAACTGTTTGTTTGTTTATTGATAAACTTTGATCAAATTTATTATTTTCATACTTTACTATTACCATTTTACAAAAAAAAAAAAAAAAAAAAAAAAACAATGTTCCCTTTCTGTGGCAGCAAACATAGGTACTCACTACTCAGTAAATATAATGCTATTTAAATATGTCTTGTTTAATCCAAACATACAAACGGAAATCCACTTAGTCTGAAGGTTCGCTGTGGTGGCGGGATATCTATTGCACAGTGTGTTGATGAATAATCATGGACATTAGATTTATGGACTCAGATTAGTTTTTTTCCTTTTAAGTAATTATTGTTAAACAAATCGCAATACCAATACCAATGTCCAGCTATTGGTGGTATCGAGAATTGACACATCCAATGATCGAGTCAGTAAAATTACTGGTGGGTCTCCTAGTTTAATCTCTATGAACCAACTAGTGTTCCCTGTTTTAGGCTCATAAGTATTCGCTTCTAAGAATGTTATACAAGGTGGAAAAAAGACCAGGGGCGGTTAAACAGTTAAACAGCTGATTTTGCAGTGCAGGAAGGTGTCCATAAGTTTGCTAAGCCTAAAGTCTGTTGATGACTTGGCTGCGTCACAAAAGATTAGTTGTCACATTTATCTGCTGAAGTTGCAGTGCCAGGATTTGTTAAGCCTAACGTATGTTGGTGACTTGGCTGTAACACAAGAGATTAGTTGTCACATTGATCTGCTGAAGTTGCAGTGCCAGGATTTGTTAAGCCTAACGTCTGTTGGTGACTTGGCTGTAACACAAGAGATGATTTCTCACATTGATCTGCTGATGTTGCAGTGCCAGAGGGTGTCCATAAGTTAGTCAAGTCTAAGTCTGTTTCTGGCTTGGCTGTGTCACAAGAGATTAGTTCTCACATTGATCTGCTGATGTTGCAGTGCCAGAAGGTGTCCATAAGTTTGCTAAGCCCAAGTCTGTTTCTGGCTTGGCTGTGTCACAAGAGATTAGTTCTCACATTGATCTGCTGATGTTGCAGTGCCAGAAGGTGTCCATAAGTTTGCTAAGCCCAAGTCTGTTTCTGGCTTGGCTGTGTCACAAGAGATGAGTTCTCACATTGATCTGCTGATGTTGCAGTGCCAGAAGGTGTCCATAAGTTTGCTAAGCCTAAGTCTGTTTCTGGCTTGGCTGTGTCACAAGAGATTAGTTCTCACATTGATCTGCTGATGTTGCAGTGCCAGAAGGTGTCCATAAGTTTGCTAAGCCCAAGTCTGTTTCTGGCTTGGCTGTGTCACAAGAGATTAGTTCTCACATTGATCTGCTGATGTTGCAGTGCCAGAAGGTGTCCATAAGTTTGCTAAGCCTAAGTCTGTTTCTGGCTTGGCTGTGTCACAAGAGATTAGTTCTCACATTGATCTGCTGATGTTGCAGTGCCAGAAGGTGTCCATAAGTTTGCTAAGCCTAAGTCTGTTTCTGGCTTGGCTGTGTCACAAGAGATTAGTTCTCACATTGATCTGCTAATTTTTCAGTACCTGAAGGTGTTCAGGCCGGTCTGCTGGTCCTCAAGCCAATCAATTTGCCCGCCAGCTCCACCATTGTCCAGGCACTAGACCCCAGACACAGAGTACGCAAACAGGCTCTGCCACCTACCATCTAGTCATCAGCCAGCACATCAGTGAGTACTGTAGATAATGGAGTGTATTTAGAGATAATGTATGATTTAACATAGTTATATAGGTATCCTTGATGACACTCGGACTTGCCCTCCTCCTAAATACAAGAGGTCAACATGACAAGTCCGTTAGTTATCCTGCACGGTTATTCCTCCTAGTCTCATGAAACTCAATAAACTTACTTTTTTTAGTAGACACTCGACTTCGTCTGTATCGTTCAAGACTGTCATCCACTTTAACTTTAGCGAATCCCGGGCATGATAAATCTACAAATAGAATTGCTAGATTCAGGAACCTCTGTCTTCAAGGTTCAACATTCTAATGAATTAGTGTCGTTTTACGACAACATTTTACAGCCTGGTTCCCTTAGTTAAATTTAAGAAATAACTTTAACAGGCTAAGCTTTTGCAACATAATAGAATAATCTTTTAGTTTTGCAAACTTGTTGTAACAAAAAACATATCACTGAGCAATTAGCAATTCGGGCAACTTTTTTCTACTGTACCAGATATTATGAAAAGGTTTGATCGATTTTTGTTATTTTCATACTTTATATATTTTGTATATACGTACTAAAATGAATCATTTGTAATAAAATATCAGGATTTTGCAGGTACTACCGTGATATATCCATACTATACAGAACTTGTAACCTTTTACTGCCAAACACTTGAACAGAAAATGTATCAACTACAATAGGGGGTTTGTGTTTACACTGTCAACATTTCTTATAGCTTTTAATACAACTTTAGATTTTCGATAAATTTGGCATACCGGATAGATTAGACTCTCTCTGGGCAATTTGAAAAATCCTAAAACGGTTTCTTTATGCGATATTTCATAATTCCCCCCAACATTATACTTTGAAAGTCCATAGTTGCTGAAAGATTTTTTTTAGCAGTTTAAAAAGAATATGTTTACTTTTCATAATGTAATACATGTCTGTTCTTAATACATTGAATCTGTTCAACAAAATTAGTAGTTCCGTCTCGTTTGTCGGTTTGACCGAAATAAAGATAGACGTTATTTAACGGAGGAGATGCACTTGTAAAGCAACATGATGCAACATGTCAATCATTGGCTTGGCGTGTGAGCGAGTGAGGTGCAGATATGAAAGTGCAAGACTGTTATTGAGGAAAGCAACTTAGTGAAAGTTGACCTTCCTAGTCATCCACTTCCTAGTCATCGTCCAGCGGTCATGGCCATCCCTTGACATGGGGATTGACAATATTTACAAATGTTCTTAGGTCTATGACACAAAATGATAAAATCATGGATTGGACTACATATGCATAACGTAGGCCATGTTATTGTGCCGTAGTGGTTAAGAATATAAAGCCATCAGAGACATAGGGAATTAAATTTAGTTTTTTGCTCTATGAATTCAATTAAACCTAAAACTTAAACATTGGTAAATATAATAAGTCCATTTTCATAGACAGTCCACCTTAACTTGGTCACTTCTAGTTAGAAACCTTTGACTGAACCTGTACGATGCTTTTTTACTGAGACGATTAAGAGATGATGAAAAACATTTAGACATAAGAGACATGTATAGGGATATTTAATATGTATGAATTAAATTCACCACTATATGAACGAATAGTTGATAATGATTTATTTACAAACGAATAATGAAGTGTACTAAATCATGACGTAGTCCAAACTAAATGTTTTAAAAAACTAGCAACAGCTGTTACATAATAAATATTAAATAAAGTATAGACCAAAGGCATCACAGATGTGGCTAAGTTGACGCCACATCAGCCCCCCGCAGAGACTGGAAGTCCAGGAAGCTTGAGCTTTACATTTCGACCAGACCGAGTTGTATAGTTTCTGAACAATGATGCCGGGTTTGGAAGCTTGAGGGATGTGTTTGAAGGTTGAGAAGCCTCTTTGATTGTTGGGTGATTACATTATTTTGTCAGGTAACACATATGCAGGCTTCACCCTGTCTAAGCTCACTCGCACTTGTTTGCCATTCTGTGAAATTACTAAGGATTTTCATCACGAGAAATCACAGGATATGGTCCGTTGTAGGGAGGCTGTAGAGCACGTTTCACAGAGTCGTCTCTTAGGAAAATATCTGTGCACTTTCTAAGATCCTGAAATTTTAAAGTTTTGGGTTTGACGTGGCGTGAAGCTTGGACAGGTTTGATTGAAGACATGTGTTGACGGAGTCGTACAACATAATCAGTAGGATCTTCATGCCTGGGTCCGTCAACAGGGAGATCAAACAATTCTCCTGGAAGTCTCAACTGTTGTCCGAAAACAATTTCTGCCGTTGATGCTTGAATATCCTCGCGGTACGCACTTCTTATACCTAGGATGACAATCGGAAGAGCTTCCAGCCAGGATGAATCGTGATGACACATCAGTGAAGCTTTGAGATGACGATGGAATCTCTCCACCAATCCATTTGCACAGGGATGGTAACTGCAAGTCCTGATTCTTTCAGAGGCGAAAGTTCTTCCAAGGGACTTGAAGAGGGATGATTCGAATTGGCGGCCTTGATCAGTAGTTATTCTTGAAGGAGCACCATAACGAGAAAACCAGCACGAGAGTAGACCTTCAGCGACTTCTTCTGCAGTAATCCCCTTTAAAGGATGAACCTCAGGCCACCTAGTGTAACGGTCTATGACTGTAAGACAGTATTTGTATGGTCCTGCTGGTGGTAAAGGCCCAATTATGTCAACATGGATGTGCTCAAAACGTGACGATGGCAAAGAAAATGTTCCTAGAGGAGTATGAACGTGTCGTGTTACCTTGCAACGTTGGCATCGCTCACAAGTACGAGCCCAGTTACGACAATCTTTTTGAATACTTGGCCAGACAAATCGATCTGCTACAAGTTTTGCAGTAGCTTTAATGCCTGGGTGGCTGAGGTCATGTAGCGAATGAAATACCCTCTTCCGTAGTTCAACTGGAATATAAGGTCTTTGGGTCCCTGTGGAAGTGTCACAAAAGATTAATGAGTTTGTTCCAGGGATTTGGATCTTCTGTATTTTGAGAGACGGATTGTTCTTGTTTATGAGGTTGATGAGTTCGTCATCTGAGCTTTGTGCTTTGGCAATTGACTCAGGATCCAATGAACATGAAATAGCTTCTACACGTGATAAAGCATCGTCAACAATGTTTTCTGAACCTCCGATGTGTTTTATGTCAGTAGAAAACTCGGATATGAATGAAAGCTGACGTAGTTGAACAGGTGGAAGTTTCTCACGACGTTGATGAAAAGCAAAGATGAGTGGCTTATGATCCGTAAAAATGGTAAATGCCGTGGTTTCCAAAAAATGACGAAAATGCTGAACTGCTTCATACACAGCTAGAAGTTCACGGTAGTACGCCGGCCAAGAGCTTTGCTTTGGTGAAAGTTTCTTAGAGAAGAATCCAAGTGGCTGCCAGGAATTTTCAACAAATTGTTGAAGGCAAGCTCCTACACTAACGTCAGAGGCGTCTGTAAACAGTCCAAGAGGGGCGTCATGTTTCGGATGAAATAGGAGTGTCACCGACGACAAACTAGCTTTGCAAAGCTTGAAACGCTTCCTCAGTCTCTGGGGTCCAAGGCACAGGAAGTGATCCCTTGCTATTTGCACCACCAAGCAGAGAGTGTAAAGGTTCTTGGAGTTCTGCTGCTTTAGGTAAGAATCTACGATAGAAATTGATCATACCTAGGAACCGTCGAAGACCACCCATTGTCTTAGGTAGTTGGTACTCCTGAAGAGCAGATATTCGATCTTGTGGAGGGTAGACACCTGATGCTGAAACTTTGTACCCTAAAAATGTCACTTCAGGCATTGCAAAAACACACTTGGACGAGTTTACAATAACGCCATAGGAATGGAGTCTTTTGAACAAAGTCCTAAGATGTTGCTCATGTTCTTCAATTGATCGGGAAAACACTAAAATATCATCAATGTAGCTGAACGTAAAGTCTAGGTTTTGGGTTACTTCATCTATGAAACGCTGGAATGTTTGGCCAGCATTACGTAACCCAAAAGTCATGAATGGAAACTCGAAAAGGCCGAATGGAGTTGTGATAGCAGTTTTGCATATGTCATCTGGGTGTACAGGGATTTGTTGGTATGCTTTTACTAGATCTATAACAGAAAATACGTTACAGCCTGAAAGATTATTTGAAAAATCATGAATGTGTCGAACAGGATACCTGTCAGGAGTGGTGCGTGCATTCAATGCACGGTAGTCTCCACACGGTCTCCATCCATTTTCTCCTTTTGGCGCCAGATGCAGGGGTGAAGCCCACGGACTGTCTGATGGACGTGCAGTACCACATTTTACCATGTCGGCAAATTCACTTTTTGCAATGCTGAGCTTTTCAGGGGCCAGTCGTCGTGGTCGGCAGAATACAGGAGGTCCTGGCGTCGTGTGTATATGATGTACTGTCTGGTGCTTCACTTCTCGAGGCAATCCTGGAGGGCGAGTAATTTCAGGGAATTCATGCAGGATTTTAGAGATGGGAGAAGTAGTGACTACGGATAAACATTTAGAAAAGGCACAGATGCGGTGTTTGATGTATGTGTTGTATGCAGTGATGGGAAGTAGCGCGCTACAAGTAGCGACGCTACAGTAGCGCGCTACTTTTTTTGTAGCGTTAGCTGTAGCTACGCTACTTTTAAGATTTTGTAGCTTTAGCTGTAGCTAGCTACATTTTTAAAGTAGTTGTAGCGGAATTTTAGCTACTTTTCTCGCTACATTAACATTGTTTGAGATAGCGATTTTTATCATAACCTCAACCTTACGTGAAACAACCTCTTTCAAACTGAGATTTTCAAAAAAAATTAGGCCTACTTTCTTGGCTTCATACAGCTGGTTGCAGCCGTTTCATTCCCTATTACAACGTTGTGTGGACATGGAGGCCATTAAATGAGTGTTATCCACATTTTTGGCTCTCATTTCCTTAATTTACTACTCTATGATTACTGTCAGATAAAATAAAATCGCTAGATACAGACGACGTTTAAACGTTACCGGTGACAAGAGAAGCTATTGAATGCTTGCAAGTGATTGACAGGGAAATTAGTAGTCAATTTAGTTTCTTTATTACATCGATAGTGTTTCAACTTGGGTTTTAATGGAAACCAAAAACCAACACTAAACCTTAAAATAATGAGAAAGCTGGTCTATCCTTTGCTTCAGCTGTTGATATTGGTTCATCATCACAAGCCCTTCCTTGGTTAGATTACGAAGATTGTTCAAAGGTTTACTAAATTAACAGAGAGGAAATTACTTGAGATTTAAGATATGCCTAGACTACATGATAATTGTAACGAAAAAATCCCCATATAACATGAAACTTACATTGAAAAAATAGCATAGTTTGCTCCTGCTAACAGCTCTTGTATAGGACTATTCCTAGGCTATGCTATGGTTTAAGAAGAATGCCAAGTTCCAAGTTCAATTATTATGAATATATCTGTTTAGTCCTTGCAAGAACAAGCCTACTATAGCCAACTTGTTACATAGCCAAGTAGGCCTACATGTTATTTTCAAATTTGTTACTTTACAATTTTCAACATGTTTAAATTAAAAGCCGATTTCAGTATGAGTTGCTGAATACTGTTTTCTGTACCAACTAGGTTGAAGCACCATTTGCCCTATGTATAATGACAATAAAGGGCGATTTCTTGACATTGAAAAGTGTTATTCATAGAACAAGTAACTTATCACTATGTTTAAAAGTTATAGCAATGTCGTTTTTAACATTAAAAGAAAGGCAATAAACTCCAATTTCAGTAGGCTAGGCTCTGTAACACAAAAAAATATTTTTAAATAACCGTTTTACAGTTTTATTGGTCTTAATTGTTTATATAAGACATCTATAAATGAATCTATATTTAAGAAATAAAATGAGCTTTTAAAATATAGTTTGGTTGTGTGTCCTTTGAACTTAATGAAATTTACATAAGTTGCTTAAAAATAATGCAATAAGTTGTTTAAAAATAAGTAGGTACTTAATATGATGGGACACCCAACTATTTGTTTCTGATGTTGTTGTAATGTTCAGTTTATAATACCAACAAATTAAATACACTCTAGGAATAATTTGTTTTCCAAGTAATGTTAGTTAATGTGACATTTTTTTGTTAAAATGTTTGTTCAATAAAAATGAAGTTGAAATTAATTTTACATTTACCTAATGTGCGTGGAATAAACAGTAACGTCTTTGGAAAAGTAGCTAAAATTGTAGCTGTAGCTACATTTCATTGTAGCTGTAGTTGTAGCTAGCTACTTTTTCTGAACTGTAGCTGTAGCTGTAGCTAAGCTACTTTTTAGGAAATGTAGCAGTAGTTGTAGCTAGCTACATTTTAAAAGTAGCTTCCCCAACACTGGTTGTATGTTAGATTTCTTTTATAACATAACATAGAACGTAGAACCAGAACATAGAGGTAACTTAGAAGTTAAGTAGGGCCCTAGAACATAAGTTAAGTTGCTGATAGTTGGGAGTAATTGATACGCTACTTTGAGTCGTAACGGAAAGTTGTCCTCCTGTAATAAGTCCAGTTGTGGCATCGTGAAGTCGCAACAGTCAACAGTCAGGAAGCAAATGGTAGTAACTGAGGAAGTCTGAGCCAATGATTGGAACACTGACATCTGCAACTGTGAACTGCCATGCAAAACTACGGAGTAGGCCTAGGTCCAATGTCATAGAACAGGTTCCGTAAGTCTTGATAGTACTACCGTTGGCGGCACTTAGTTCAAAGTCTGTAGATGTGCGACGGTCTCGTAGAAGACGTTTGGGATAACATGAAACGTCAGAGCCGGTGTCGATCAAGAACCGGAGATTCGACTTTTTATCTGAGACAAAAATTCTGCGGCTGGATGCTTGACAGTCAGTTGCCGCTGTTACTGGCCGTCCTTGGAGTTTCCCGCGTAAGAGCAAGGAGAAATACATTTTGACGCGTGCTCACCAAATTTAGCATGATACCAGCAGATATGACTTGTAGATTTGTGCTGATCTTTATTCGCGTTCTTTGATGTTTTCTTGTCATGATTGGTCGAATGATTGTGCTGAAGTGATACTTCGAGTGCGTCAATCCTTTGCGTCAATCTCGAAATAGCAGCAGTGAGGTCGTCATTAGACTGTGTGTGTTCACGAGTTTTCGTAGCATTTACTGATACTTGTGGTGTTCTTGTAGAAACTTCAATGACTTTATCCACTATATCTGCAAGTTTATCCAGTGGAAGTTCATTTTGAGCTGTGATGATCGCTTGTATGTTAATAGGGAGACGACGTAGCCAGAGTGCTCGAAGGATGTTGTCCTGTAGTTGGGCTGGACCGATCAGAGTACGTAGGTGGCGTAAGAACTGCGATGGCTTGCGATCTCCGATATCTTCGTCGCTGATCAACTGGCGTACACATTCTTCTTCACTAGTAGACAACCTTTCAATAAGCTTCGAACGAAGTACAGCGTAACGATTCGTTGCAGGCGGAGTTGTGATGATGTCCTCTACTTCCACTGCGTAACGTGTTTCAAGCTGAGAAACGACGTAGTGGAACCGATTGTCATCGCTTGTGATGCCTGAGATGGCGAACTGGGAATCTACCTGAGCAAACCATAGACTAGGTCGATCGGCCCAGAATGGTGCGAAGCTTTACTGCAACTCGATTCACTGATACATTACCAGGGTCGTTGCGTTGCTGAACGTTGGTAGATAGTTCATCTTGTTGCGCTCGTAGATTCGCCAATTGAGCTTCGATTTCTTCTAGCGACATTGGTAATATTGATGAAGGAATGTCGTGTTTCTGGTTGTTGTTGTTCGGGGTCACCAATATATAGGGATATTTAATCTGTATGAATTAAATTCACCACTATATGAACGAATAGTTGATAATGATTTATTTACAAACGAATAATGAAGTGTACTAAATCATGACGTAGTCCAAACTAAATGTTTAACAAAACTAGCAACAGCTGTTACATAATAAATATTAAATAAAGTATAGACCAAAGGCATCACAGATGTGGCTAAGTTGACGCCACACATGTTTGATGTATGTGTTGTATGTTAGATTTCTTTTATAACATAACATAGAACGTAGAACCAGAACATAGAGGTAACTTAGAAGTTAAGTAGGGCCCTAGAACATAGAGTTTTAGTTGCTAGTAGCTACCTAGAGACATAGTAGGCTTTAACCCGAGAGTTGGTAACTATAATAGCTAGGGAACATATGATGCAATAACTATTCTAATGTAGCTTTCAAAGATTAAGTCAATTGTAGTTAAAAGAGTGGAAAAATACACTGGTTGGTTTCATAACCTACTTGTCAGTTCTGATGTAGTTACTCTAGATTACCAGATTAACATACCAGATACATTCCTCGGTGCCTAACGTAAGTAATTATGTAACCACGAAACTAGGCTTAATATTTACCAACGTAAGCATTATCTACCTGATGTTTACCAAAAACTAAAACTAAATTTTTGTTTCTTACCAGTCTCATGTGGCTAGATTTATTAAAATTCTTTACTTAAAAAGTTTAGGCTTCGCAAATGTTTAAAAAAGGGAAAATACGAGAAGTACATAAGTAAAATCTATTTTACCAACTTTGTGTTTAAACACTTAGAAGTAGATACCGTTTTTAGCCATATTACAAGAGAGCTTCCTTTTTCGAGGAAAGCCTGTAGAAGGATCGTCCTTGTTGAGTCTCAGCCTTGTGATAAGGAGTGAAATTCTTTTCCTTTGTAATGCATTGTCGTCTTCTTCGGAGTTGCGATACACACTGAAAAAGGCAAAAGAACGAGTCATTTGAGTGTAAGTTTAACAGAACAGATAACAGCAGATAGAGCATAACAACAACAATAATATAAATGCGTACCTACCAATCGAAGGAGAAATGTGTACGGGACGAAACCAATCATTGTGCTATGTCTATTTTTGAAGGGGATATGAGTTGTCTTTCTACAATTTATGACAAACGTCTACTGGACTACTTCCACTGAGGTTATCCAGTGAAGAAACTGAGATGTAAAATACCAATATTTGGAAGCCTTACAGTAATTGATCATCCAGGCTCTTTGTTGGATGACCTTTTGTCTTTGGTTTCATCACACGACTGATTGTTGATTTCTAACGTCTGATGTGATCTAATGTTCCAGATTAGTTATCCAGAGACCTGTGACTACAATAAGAGTCAGCCCTCGTCGACTGATGGCTGTTCACTGTACAGTGTATACATCACAACAATGACCTGACAGTTTACTCGGCTATGTAAGCTTTACCAAAAACAACGACCAGGCAATCACAGTGCATACAACAACAATGTGCGTTACTTGATAGGGAGAGTAGTTGATTATTAAAATTATTTGGCAAACAACATTGAGCTGAGCTGTAGTTTGTATTGTGTGGTAGGAAATGTTTCACGCAATAACACCGATTATACACCGTTATTGCATTGCGTTATTCGGTAATTTATACCAATTCCAGTCTACTTCTAACATCTGGAATGGAATAAGATTTTAGAGGATATCAACTTTTTTCGAATATATTAATGCGAGAGTCAATAATTATCTTGCCTCATTGCTCGGTAATGTTGACGTTAAATGTTCAGCCATGTTGTTATGAAAAGGTATTTTAAAGCGTGTTTCATTAGTACCAATATCTATAGAGGTCTATCTCATAGTTATTTATATTATGTGAAATGTAATTCATTCTTTTTTCTAATGTAAAGTCATAAAACTCATCTATAATCTATAATCATCTATAATCCATAATCAAACAGACTGCCATCATATCAAACTTATTAATTTGAACGTGAACTATGATTGCCAAAACCATCTTCTGAATACTTTTTTATTTAATAATAGATCATAAAGAACGTAGCCCTATATTTTAGACCAGCATTTGAATGTAAAAACTTCAAAAACTACTTTAGTATAAATTGTAAACATTATCACAAACATTAATTGTAGCATAATCTAATTACACCCTCAAAGCAAAAATTTTCAGGTAATAAGATGAGGGTTTGACCATACCTGGCAGGTGCTTAACATATATTAGTTTTAGTTAAAGTCGAGCGATAAGTTACAAAATTTGACGTCAAAATCACGATGATTCAATAAATATTGGCTCGTTGACATTTGTAATCGGAATTAATTCTATATTTTTTATCTTGAGTCCGCCAAACAGTTGAAACAGAACCAATGACTTCTAAAGAGGTCTATTTCACAGCCAATGATTTAAACATAATCTTTTCCAACTAAGTTTACCTTAGTAACGACATTTTGCCATCCCAGCAAAACAAAACAAGTTTCATAAAACCGACATTTAAACAATACAATAATATTAGCTTTGCCAAAACCTTATAGCAGTAAGACTATTTATATTTCTCGTAAGCAGGAAGCCAGATTAGACAAGTAAGCTAGTTTACGAAAGCTGTAAAATAAGCCTATTAGTATAAGAGATGTATATTTTTAGACAAATGTTTGTAAATAAATATGATATATTTTACAAAAGTTTTATTGTACCTATTTCTATATTTATAACATGACTTATCGTCATAAGTAATCTTTATGAGTACGGTAGGTATATTTTCCTGCTTTAGGTGCAAACGAAAAATTGAACAGTAGCCTATTACAACAGCTGCTATGCTACATAGTACAACTAATGCTCAATGGTCCACTGTTCAGTAAGCCTAGATTTAAGAGCTTCCTTTGACAGATACTGGGTCCCGCGGTCGTATGTGATACTCTCCACTCTTGGTAAAGTACTTGACCCACGGTACCGCCTGGTAACCGCTCTTCTCCGTCACCTTGAGGTAACGAACACTTAGTCCGGAGATGCTGTATGCGGATATCTCGAATTGTACCTCTATTGGACGCGGAGTCTCCTTGTCCAGACTAGGGACACTAGGAAGGCCAAACTGCGCGATCATGAAGTACTCTTTACACCCTTCCAGGTTTTTGATAGACCACTTGATCACATTGCTCTCTGGGACGTAACTCACGGTTCCAACACCAAACTGAAACTTGGGCGAGTCAACGTCACCGGGGACTGGTATGAGTATGTGGACGAAGCTTGCTGAACGACGGTTCTTGAAGTGTGACGTCACCTTTACCGTGTACTCCACACGCTGTCTGGACAGTCGGGTCACACAGTCCACCCAGACCGGGGGCCTGACGTACGTATTGATGCGGTAGGACATCAGCTCAAACTCACCGTCAGGAGGAACGAAGGTTATAGTACGATCCTGATCGAACTTCGTCAGCCTAACACTTTGGTGGAACTTGAGTTCGTCCAGGTCAACGTATTTTCCGTTTTCAGTAGATTCCTTATCACGAAACAGCCTATCGTTGATTCCAAGATGCAGTTCGGGCATTCCAGATAGTTTTGACGTTATCATGATCGAACCATGTATTTCACTGGTGACCACAGCACCGTTGTACTTGGCTGTGAGGCAGACTGACTCCACGACGTCCAGGAACACCTCGTTCCTCTTGTACACGATACCACCAGATCTCCACGACACAGCGTTGGTTACAGCGTCTGGGACGTTAGGTGTTCCTAGCTTCCTACTCTCCTGAGTTATGTACTCCTTTAGTATGTTGCTCTCGGTGATTTGTGGATAGCCAAAGTCCAGGATCTCGTCTAAGATCTCGTACAATAGTACGAAGTTGTCACGTATACTCTCCTCCTGAACGTCCCTGAAGTACTCTCTCATGACGTTGAGTGCTTTGTAGAGGAACGCGAAGACGAGTGAGATGTTAGCGTTGCTGCTGACGGTGGCTACCACGTACACGTTGTTGGTCCTGACGTAGGCGAAAGTGATGTCTCCTACCTGTAGCACCGGTGCTGCCGACATCTCTCCCGTGGACATAATTGCGGGCATGAACATGTCCATCACATCAGACTCGTGGCTGTGGCGGTAGTTCCTGGATATCAGAGACTTGCCCAACAAGTCGACTATGTGTATTGCAGAAATAGACATGATAAAGATCACAAAAAGAAAATGGGAACACAAATAGTGACTAGACGTTTTTGTTGTTGTTTTCATTATCTGCTATAACAGCTGATTAAAGAAATGCATATAGAAAAAGAGTCCTATTTTGGGCGGGTCTGCCATTGATTATAGAACTCTATACTGTATAGCCAATCACTGTTTCGACAAGCCCAAAACAACAAATGGTAAGAATGTAAACTTGTAAAGCCTTAAAAGGGTTTACATTATACTATTGGCTTTGGTATAAGACTTCTCATCCGATCATAAAAATCTGGAGCCTATATTGATGCGTTCTTTTTGGGTAGACTAAAGAGTATTATTATTCAGGGTAAGATTTGAAGCGGATGTTCTACACTTTTGTTACATTATCAAACATCTAGTAAAATTCTATAGATATTTACGATTTATTTATAACTCAATGTTTAAGATACCTATTTGAAAAAAAATATATAAAGCAAACAACAATAAAGATTTTCCGACAGAACCATTTTTAAAATTGATCTTCAACATTTTCAACATTTTTATCCTTACGGATTTCAAACGTACGTATGTTAATCTTTACTGATTAACATGAGGTACTCTTGTAAACTATAGATAATAACACAAAATACCAGTCTAATTTTTAAAATTGTTTGTTAAGTTGCTTATCCTATATTATCCTATACTATAATACGAGCTAAGTCTGTTTGTGTGTCCGTCTGTAATATACATCTCGAAATCCAGCGGGTGGATTTTACAAAATTTTAGAATTAGGGACATATAGCCCTAAAAACGTATTGGTGACTGCCACTACCTCAGAAAAATTGGTACTTCGCTAGACAACTCATTTGAAAATTAAAAACTTAAATATTGGCCTTATGGGCTGCTAAGTAATTATGTTGGTTGAACAAACTAACAAGGAAAAAGTAAACAAAATACTTGTAACAACAAGCCTTCCACAGGATACTAGCAAATTACAAAATACAGTACAAAGAGAAAAACATCAGTTGTGCAAAGATTTCACTAAAGATTACTCGACATTGGGGAAAAGTGTTTCGTATTGGTGACGTTTTAGTGCACTGATGTCAACTCAATGTTTCACTTTTATTTAAGGGTAGGTTTTACAACTGTTATTCACTCATTTATTGTTTGCATTATTTGGACAGCTGTATTCAGTTGAATGAGTATTCAAGTTCATTGTATTACAATAATCTTAACAGTAAGCAATATACGCTTAAATCAGACTTATTTGTCTTCCGATCCATCATATGATAGAGAGTATTTTAGAGAGTATGCTCATGCTGCAGTTTTACTTAGACAAGAGAAAAATAAAGATTTAATTTAGTACCAAGAAATAAATTACACCCCTTAAATACGAAGTAATATGCTGTATTAATGCTGTTGTAGCTAATTTCTACTGTATTAACCTGTGATCACAAATTAAATCCTACTATAGGAACTGATATAAAAAATACTTATTTTATTTTTTAAACCGTTGTTTTACTTATTTACAATGTAAGACATTTGTAGATTAATACATTAGTTTAAATTGAATTAATGTGTTAGATTGCCAAGTTAAAATTTCCAACATACGCGAGTTTCCTTTATTGCTTTTACAATCGATATAAACATACCGAGCCATGGCTCGGTCACCCGCTACCACTACTTAGACTGATTTACCATTACATTTTTTAACATTTAGCAACATCATGTAATACTTACTTTAAGTTTATAAAACCAAAGATACAATGATGAAAGTTAGCTATTTTAATATTTTAGTAGCTTTTTATGTTCTCAACAAGGAGTTGTGTTACATTATTAATACTGTAGTACTGTAACAAATGCGGGCGATGTTACGGTAACTAACACAACTCCCCTTCATTAAAACCTCTGCAAGACGCCTTACTTCTGAGTATTCTGCGTAGTGTTTCTATATAGAGGGCACGTTATTAAACCTATATAATTTTTACTAAAGCTCTAAAATATGTTTTTAGCAAATTTTCATTTGGGCATAGGCTATTAACCTAGGCGGCACGAAAAGGCCTAAGCCCTGGACCGAGTTAATTTTTAGCTTTAATGTCTCCAAAGATTGAAAGAAACATTCGTTCAAATTTTAAATTTATCCCGAGAAAACGATAATTTAAGCAACTTTGCTCTTTTTTAAAAGAAATTTGGAACGAATGTGTAGGGCTGATCAGATCGGGCAATGATGGTAACGGGTTATTATAGAGCATTGAAGTAAAAAAATGTCCAATTTGATTTACAGGCATGGAGAAGAGCTAAAAAACAAATAATGTTGTACATTGAAGTGTTGTTCTAAAGGTTTAAAAGTTCAAAGGTTACGAAGGAAATAAAAAAAAAAAAAAAAAAAAAAAAACTGTAGGTACACTTAAAATGTTCATGATTATACAAAATGTATATCATAACTGTTGTAGTTGGCTTGTTTTTAAATATGTTCACCAAATTTGGCAAATTAATTAATTTTATCCTGTATTATTAACATTCAATTAAAACAGTTTCTCCTTCCCCGTTGCAGCGAACCTAAGTACTGTATTCATTAAATAAAATATTTATAAATATGCTTTTTATGGAAATATTTTAGTAAATTTCCAATCAAAAAGGTAAAATTAGCTTAGTCTGCAGGTTTGCTGCAGCAGGGGTATTTTTAAAGCCTTTTTATTAAGATAATGTACGAAAAACCTTTCGTACCTTTCGCTTATAATACAAAAAATTAACAATGCGCATTGCACAACTGAACTTGTGTCCCAAGGGGTTAAACACTACTTTATTATTGACCACAGACTGTTGGGTTCGCTTCCGGGTAATGAAGTGCCATTTGGTTGTAACATTCTTACACAACTTTAACTGGAGTCAAATTATCCCGGTACATAGGTTTGAGAATTATATTTGGTCGCTCCACTTACTGTACCTAAATTAAAATTTAACTGACAATTCATTATAAAGCTACTGAATGTGGGAATAATTTTACAGTGTAGCTAAAAACCCAACAACAAACCTCTTTAGATTATTGTTTGGCTCATTCTGTTCGACTTGAGATTCGCCAAGCGGAAAACCATGGGCAACAACTTTTATCCTAAGCCTTTGTCCCATTGGCCTTCACAGTTCTCTGATGAAAATGTACAATGCAGTTTTAGAAACACGCCTCTTGATTAATGAACTTAACTGTAGACCAAGATAATTAGGACATTTTTGGGTCAATACATTCTTGGCCAAATACTTGTGTTTTGGAACCCAAAAGTCACCTAATTCACCTAGTCTACAGGTACGTTCTTTAATCAAGAGGCGTGTTCCAACAAACTGCATTACATTATTTTTACAATTAGTACCGGGGGGCCAAGCCTTGCTCGGTTGTGGTTAATTGGGTTTAATAGTTGAAACAATATTATAAACAGACATATTTTCTAAATAATTGACAAAATGTGTTTTAATAACCATGCATAAACTATATACTTTTAA